TAAACACATCAATTGTTTTTGTCCAGCTGATAAGTTGCTACCACCTTCACTGACTTTAGCATCAAGGCCATAACCAGTATCAGCATCAACCTGGGAATCTACATTATCACTGGCATCCAAGGCCCGGCTTTCTGAATCTTCGCTAACTTGGGTATCGGGTTTTCTTCCCATAGAGAGAACATGAGTCTTTAAATGAGATAATTCAAGAACTCTCCATAGTTCTGAGTCAGAGTAAACGCCAGCTGGATCAAGATTTTCTCGAATACTTCCAACAAAAACTTGAGATTCTTGAGGAATAATACTCAGTTTTGATCTCAAGTCGCTTAACCCAATTTCGCTAATATCGATGTCATCAATCAAAATTTGACCACCAGCAGCTTCAATAATCCTGAACAGTGCAAGAGTCAACGAACTCTTACCAGCACCGGTTCGGCCAACGATCCCGACTTTTTCTTTCGGCAAGATTTCTAAATCAATGCCATCAAGCACTAGGTCAAGATTCTCTCTATATCTGGTAGAAAAATTCTTAAATTGAATATGCCCCCTTTCTGGCCAGGAAGAGGGGGGGCGGTTAGATTCCACAACATCATCTCTCTCTGGTGTCAAATTACAATATTCAATAACGCGTTCCACGGCAACAATATTAGCCTCAACTTCAGCAGAATTACGAACTACACCGTGAAGATCATTAGCGACCTTAATGGCATAATTCATAACTAGACCGATAAGACCAGCCGAAATCGTAGAGTAACTAAGTGTTAAAACAGCCATTAACCCAGTAAAGAAAATAATAATAGCACCAATCAGTCTTAATCTGAACGCTAGCCAACGGTTAAGAGAGGTCTGAATATATGAGCACTTTTGGTAATTATTGATTCGCCCTTCACATTCATCAACAGACCTATACTGTCTCGCATAAGCTCTGATGGTAGAAACACCAGTAATAAGTTCCTGAAAGTGAGAAAATATGGGACTTCTTGAGGCACTGATCAAGCGCTTGAGTTCTCGAGAAGTCTTAATGTAGTATTTCTGATAAGAAATATAGACCAACAAAAGAGGAATAATCAAAACAAGTGTCTGAGGCGCAGAATAAATAATCACACATAAAGTACTAATGAGCGAAAACAACTGGATGAAAAAGTATTCAAAGGTATACGGCAAAACATCATCAATACGAGAGATATCACCAGAAAAACGGTTTGTTATACGGCCTAATGGTGTTGTTTCAAAGAATGACATAGGAGCACGCACAACAGCTCTTAACATTCTGCTGTACAATAATTTAGCACTTCTCATGGCAGCAAAAATGGTAAGAGTAGCGCTTTCTAGAACCCCAAATAGCCCAGATGTAATGCCAATGATAGCATAAATAATCAAAAATTTGAAAGGGTCAGTGTCACCACCGGAAATTTCATTTTTATCTGACCAATGCTTTAACCAGAATGTACTCGCCACTTGCAAAGCACTGGAACCGAACATCCAAAAGACACCAAGTAATATATAACCCCAACTAAGGGACTTGGCGTACTCTCCATAAATTGACCAGCCAACTTCACCTTTATTATTTATTTCAGACGATATACCTGTTTTTTTGTTTTTCTGTAATTCTTCATCTTTAAACTTTGGCATTATAAAAGATGTGGTACTGGCTCTGCGAAGAGTGATGTTAGTAAGGGTTTTCATTAAAAGAGCCTCTTCTGCAACTAATGCACCTGTATCAATCAAAGTTGTAGCATTTTGTGATTCAACAGGAATTTGAAGTTCTGTTGTTACATCCGAACTTAAAACTTCATCTCCATTACCATCATTTTTATGCATTTTACCAAACTGTTTAACGAGTTGATAAATTGAGCCTTGGATATTTTTGATAACATCTTCATATCTTCCCGATTCAACAAATTCACCACCCGAAATCATAAAAACAGTGTTGGCCACCGAGAGTACGTTAATAGTGTTTGATGCTAAAATCCTTGTCTTGGTATTCAAGATACCTTTAGGTCCCAAAACTTCTCTAATAAGATGGGCTTGAACGTGTTCATCAACTGCAGAAAGGGGATCATCAAACAAAAAAATATCTGCCCTTGAATAGACTGCTCTTGCTAAGGAAATTCGGGCCTTTTGGCCTCCAGACAATGAGATGCCCTTTTCGCCAACTTCTGTTTCATCGCCATCAGGTAGCATCTCGATATCCTTTTTCAAGGCGCATACTTCGATTACACGATCATAAAATTCAGGGTCTAATCGGTTGCCAAAAACAATATTATCTTTCACAGTAGCGTTGAGAATCCATGGTGTTTGGGCAACGTACGCAGTTTTACCGTGCACTTCTATAATGCCACTTTTTTTAAACAAGTCACCAGTTAAAGATTGTAAAAAGGTAGATTTTCCAGCGCCAACCTTACCGATAATACAACTCAGTTCACCCTTGTTAGCAACAAAATTAATATTGTTTAAAGCAAGGCTTGTTTGATCAGTTGAATCAAAACAGAATGTGCCGCCGATCACTTTAACAGATAAGTCACCTATCACTTCAGTTTTAGGAAGTCTAGTAACCAGATTATCCTGAAGTTCACTAGCAAGATAAAACTTGCAAAGACGAATGATTGAAACTCTTATCTCGAATACATAGGTAATAATAAATGGAATCATACTAAGAGGCATTTCAAGAATTTCAAACAAAGCCAACGTAGGGAAAATAATTGACGCAGTCAAAGGCGTATTTTGAATATAAGTAAACATTCCAAATGAAGCTAAAGCCACCAGAAAAGAAGACGAAAACCAGAAGAATTTACCAATAGAACCTATCATATAAATTTTTTTCAATGTACTTAATTCTTCTTTATTTCTAATATCTTCACTTCTCTTTATAAATGTACTTTCCCAATTGTACAGTTTTAAACTTTTGATGTTCGAGAAAATTTCTGTTGCTGCTCTTGATCTTTTATCTTTCATATCCATTAGATTGAACCAATGTTTGGATTGAAATTTAGCAAAAATACCATTAACTGGCAAAAGAGCAACCATAACTGCCACACCGGCCCAAGTTGCGGGCCCCAGTAAACTGTATAAACTGTATAAGCAAACAAATAATTCTACTGGTAACATCCATATATCATTAATATAAATTGGCATGGTGTAGACCCGGCCGATATCGGTATTCATCATGGTGACTAAGTCACCCGTAGATCTATCTTTACGCTCTTGAGGAGCCAAAACAAGAGTCTTTTTAACCATCATTGAACTAAGGGCAGTCTGAGCTTTCAAGCCAATGCTGAAAGCCTGTTGATAGTATTCAGAGTAGAAGAGATTTTCAAAAACAGTGACTAAAAGCATCCCAAAACTGATAATAATACCTCTACTCAAAGGAGGCGTTTCGTTCAAGGTGTTGTAATCATTTACAAAATTGATTAATGCACCTAGTAAAAAGGGTTGAGCATAGGGGATAAGTCTGTGAAAAATATAAAGAATACATATTTGAAAATATTCCCATTTATAGCATACAGCTAAAGCACGCAATAGAGAAGGATTACTCTTCAAGGATTCTTCTTTCCAACACTTATCGAAACTAGCAGTAACTTTCTTTGGGCTAAATTCAGCAGGTGGCTTAGGGATATCATCTTGATCCAAAAATCTGGCTGAACCTAATTTTAACAAATAGTTGATCCAAACGTATGTTATACGAGAAATAAAGTTGGCACGATCGATAGGATTCATTTCAGTATCTTTATAAATAAAAGATAAATGTTCATATGGGTTAAAAAACGTAACTTCAAGAACAAAAATAAACCCGGATACTATTGTTGTAAAGCTTATTAGCACAGTATAAGTCAAATATCTGCCATTATTCAAAGGTATTTCTCTAAGCAGCAAACCGAAAAGTCTAAAACTTCCAAACAATGTTGTCAAAAGCCAGTAAAGTAGCAATGAGCCAGTAGCCATACGACCTTTAAACTGCTCTACGTAGTGAAGGGTAGCTGCAATCACTAGAGAGAACCCCCCTAGAATAGGACCGAAAAATCTAATATCAGTATACCATTGGGGATTGCTTTTCAGGTCAAACAATGAAACAGAAACGAGTGCAATGCTCACATATAGCATAGACTGAATAGCTATTAATGACAGCTTCAGATAAAAATCCCAGCCTTTATAGCTGGAATAAAGCTTTTGAGAGCGAAGGTACAGCAGCTGATATATGCCAGCTGTCAATAGCAGGATTGAGGGTATGACATAGAGAACTAAATCATTAAAACAAGGAACAAAATCTCCATAATAAGAGAATGGTCCCCATCCCTCCGTATTTGAACAAAAACAATACTTTTCATTTAGTTTTGAGTCTAAGTCGCCTTTGGTTGAAACTGAAAATAACATCATGCTGTTGAAGGGATTTTGAGACCCCGCAGCCAAAGCGAACTTAGACATTTTACTGATGTTGAAACTATTCAATTTCAAGAATCAAAAGAGACACTTTCGATTTTATTATACCCAAAGAGAGTTTCTCAGTTGCTCTCCTTGTTATTAATACGGTAAAACCGAAAATGCACAGATTTCGGCTTGGAAATGAACTATGGACACTCGAGCCGTTTTTAACTAGGCGCTCATGATCCCCCCCCCATAACCTTTAGAGAAAGAGAAACCCGAAGGCGCAGTAACCGTTGTGTGCGGCACCAAAAAATCTAAAGGCCGATTAGGTGCGTCATAACTTTATTTTGGATATTAATTCCTTTTTCCGTTTTACAAAAATTAGGTAATCTGGCAGAGTGGTTAAGGCGAAGCACTAGAATTAAGTAAATTTGGTAGACTTATTCTTTATTTTTTCAAGAAGTGAGTCTGTTATTATCCGGCTCGTGAAACTAGAAGAAAAAAGGCGCAAATTTACATCTTTATAACCTGTTTTTTGATTGAAATATTTTTAACATGATGGAAAAGAATAATGGCCTTAATTAATTTGATTTTTAACGCATTTTATAAATATCTCTTTTTTATAAAAAGAGGAATAACATGGCAATCTGGCCGAGTGGTTAAGGCGAAGCACTCGAATTAACTTTATTTGATATGCTTTGGGCTCTGCCCGCGCAGGTTCGAATCCTGCGGTTGTCGTTTTTTGTTTCAGTAGTGAGACTTCCGGGTAAATTTTTGAAATCACAAATTAAAATTATTGAATTATTCATTTTGTATTTTAAAAAGAAAATGTGGAATAAATCAAGGTTCTCGGTGGTTTTTTTCTTTTTTTTAAAAATTAAATTATAAAGTTTTGTGCATGTTTATTGAAAAAGCTAATTATTTTTAGATTTAGAGTTTTATCAGAAGAAAGATAAATAGAGAACAAAAATTGAAGGAAAAAGTTAAAATAACACCAGTTCCACTTAAGATTCATTTGAAATTAAAAAAAAAACAGATTTCTGATTTAAAGTGATTTGCTTCTAACTTTATTACTCAATCTTTTAACTGTATATAGTTGTATATGGGCTCACAGATCTTCGAAGGCCAATGTAACGGGCTCAGCGTTATTGAGATTGTGGACCTGCAAGCTCTGTGGTTAGGTCCCAAGTTGTGGTGGTTTTACTTCCCAGTTGAATTTTTTTCGTTTTTTGTTTTGTTTCTGAGCTAATCAGGCTGAAATCCTATCTTTCGAGAAATACATCTAAATATACACCATCTAGTACATAAAAAATGTCACAGATAGAATCCGCTATTAAATTAGCAAGAGAGCACTTGGATGCTTCTGCGCCCGAATCTGCTATCCAAACTCTTATGCCCCTTGTGGAGACCAATGATAGCAATATTACTCTGCTTCAAGTTCTCGGTGAAGCCTTTTTAGAGTACGGTGACACTGAACAAGCCTATAATCTTTTCATTAAGGCATCCGAATTAGATCCTACCGGAAGCCAAGGTGGTATGGAGAAGTTTCTTTGGTTAGGGCAAATTGTTGGTGGTAGATCTGGTGAGGTTTGGTTTCAAAAGGGTATGGAATTATTAAGAAGTGAGATTTCTAAGAAAGAACAAGAATTTTCAAGCATTAACGATAAGGCTGGACAGCAGCAAAGGCTGGAGCAATTAAAAATTGAAGTAGCATTTTTGAAACGTAAACTTTGCGAAGCTCTCTGCGGTGTTATTGAAATTTGGATGACTGATTTATGTATGGAGCCCGAAGCTGAATCCAAGTGTGATGGCCTTATTACCGAATCTTTACTGGTCGACAATACACTTGCCGAATCATGGACAGTTCTGGGTTCCATTCGTATTAGTCAACAGAGAAATGAAGAAGCCGTGGTTGCCTTAGCCAAGGCTTGGGACCTATACAAAGATGAACTAGACCCCCCTACGCCTTCGTTGCTGACTCTTGCTAGATATCTTGTCGAAATGAAACAGGACGAAATTGCTGTTGAATGTTTACAGAAAATTCAAGATTTAGATGAAGCTATCGTGGAGGTTCACTACTTGGAAGGTTTTGTGAATTTCAATGCTTATAAGGCTATCGTGGAAAAGGTTGGTAACTTAATTTCGGACGAACTTAACGAAGAAAAGAAATCATATGTTGCTGACGCTAGAATGTCATTTAAAAAAGCTTTACATTTTATGCAGTTTGATGAAAATGTCGACGCCGAAATCAAGACCCATATCGAACAAATGTTGAACGAATTGGCCAGTGAACCCGAAAGTGAAGAAATAGCGGCATACACCGGTGATATCAATGAAGAAAATTTGGAAGATTTTATTGAGGACAATGAAGATGAAGAAATGAGTTAAACGAAATTGAAATAGTTTTTTATCATCATATTTATATATAGTATTTTTCTGTCATATCATGCTCTTTGATTGCCATTCATTTTTTTCTTTATCACGGTACAGAGATTAGAAATTGTATTATATTCTTATTAGGACTAAGCACAGAAATAGGGTTTTAATTTATTTGCTTTTTACTTTTTTTATCTACATCTTTATCTATCTCTATTTTTCATTTTTTCGATGCCTGAGTTGAATATCTGATCCATTGTGTGTTGATGTTATATTAAGGGGAAATACTAGTGAATATTTAGTCTTATTGCGTTTCCGCAGCCGTGGTTGTTTTCTGTCAAATTATCGTTAATCATTTTTTATTATATTATTAGATTTGTGGTATTTGTTATACCTTAGAATCGTGCATAATTGATTGCATAATAAGCCAGCCTCATCTATTGCAGAGCTCACTAGTTCTATATTGAACCCAACCTCCTTAGTTTTAAACAAAACGTCTTGTTGTATTTGCATATAAATATTATATATAATAGAAGAGGCAAAAATATCTGAACGCACACCTTGAAAAAGATTCTAGAATTTTGAAGTCCTTCATAAACCTAGATCTGGTTCTTATTATGCACTCAAGATACATATACCTACCGTAGAGAGCACCTCGCAGCTCCAGCCACCCAAAATTGCCAGATTGAAAGTTGTATTGTTTCTATTGTTTTTAAAGGCATACCCGCCACTTATATATCAAGCTTGAATATAGCTTGTATATTATTAAGGATACTTCCTCAAAAGTCATCCTTGACTTTTTTTTTTTTTTTCAGTACACGCTATTTTAATTCCAAGTCTTCACAAATATTTTGTTTTTTCTACTATAGTACTAAACTCTACAAAACATAAAGAAACAAAAGAAACTATCAAAACCCTTTCAATTTGAAAAATCAATTTTAGGAAAACTAATACCAACATAATGCTAACAATTAGGGAAGCTTTTGTCGCTAGTTTGTTCGTTTCAAACTTATTTGCCATAGCTTCACCTTTACATTCTCGAAGTAAAAGTGAACCAGCAGTTAGCTCTTTAATTTCAGAGGAAAGTTCATATCAAGATCCTGAACTACACGTTACAGTTTGGCTAACGGTTGAAGTTACTGATTGTTATCAAAAGAATCCTATCCCCTCCTCTGCTCTATCTGAAAATGGACTATTTTCATTTAACAATTCGTACCTAGCATCCTCAACAGATACTGCTTATTGTACCCAAGAAAACTCCAAAATATCTCACCAGATTCCGGAAAGCTCTACAAGAAAGATATTAGGGCAAGAATTATCCGACGGATCTACAAAGGCGGACAACTATTCAAGTGGATCTTTGGAGATATCAGAAACATCAGTTCAACAAGAAAGGCCAATAAGGAAAAGTCATAGCAACCGTTCATCACCGAATTCAACTATAGCGAATGTGCTTTCTCAGAGTTCAGAAGACCCAAAAAACAAAAATTCAAGCGTAAAGGAAAACACTAAATTATTGACGTTTGAGCCTACAATTACATCTTTGTACTCGTTTAGCACTGAGTCCTCACCAATGGGAGAAAATCTTTCCGAGCCTACAGACGTAACAGTCCTTTTTTTTTCAAATGGTCTGAAAACACCACCGTTATCTTCGGTAACACCATCGCTTTCTTCAGTCACACCATTAGAAACATTTTATTCAGAACCATCAGTGATTTCTTTCACTTCTATTAATGTCCAATCAAAAGAAACCTCATATTTCCATGCGGGTTATTCTTCAGATATTTCTAACTTATCGTTAGTAAGTTCTGACACTGGGGCTTATTCAACGTCAACTAGTAACTCGCAACTTTTAACAAAAACAAATATCGTTCATGAATCCGAAACTCCAATCTTGCCATTAAATTCGGTAACAAGTCCATCTATTTCCCATTCAGTTGGAGCTTCGGTTTTTTCAACAAATGAATACATGGGTACTAATTCTGATCAGTCAAGCAGGACCGAGCCAGTTTACTCTTCATCAAGTAAAGGAACTATTAATGTTTCAACCACTTCTGATTCAAAGGCCGAGCAAACAGCCAACTTACCAACTTCAGGTTATAATGCACACACTCATCTTGTGAATTCACCATCTACGATTTCCTTCTCTACATTGAATAAACAAGTCTCAATTTCTTCTAATAGTATGAATTCAAATATGGTATTATCCCAAATTAAATCTGTATCCTTATTACTGTGCTCAACCTCTTCAATTCGCTCAGTCTCTCCGCTGGAATCAAGTTCAGCTAGGAATTTCAACTCAAGTGAAAATTTAGGAAACTATGCGAACATCAGCACATACAATAAAAAAATTCATTCCTCAACTGTTGATCAAACGTTTTCAGCTAGAATAACATCAATTTTAGTTTCTAGTGCTTTAAGCATTAGGAGTATGGGCTCTCAATCCGATATGGCAACACCTACTCACTCTTTTAATGTGTCTATGTCCGCCACATCATCTTTGGCTTCAATTCAAACTTTAATAACATCGATTAAAAGTAGAGAGTCAAGTAAGGCGACTATCACTATCAACTTACTAGCCCAGGATGTTCCTTCAATATATTTAGAGCCAGTTGAAAAGACAATTAACAAGACTTTTTCGGAAATGCCTACATCTAAATCAATTAGTGAAAGTTTGGGTATTACATCAGGTGTACCGAACGCTACTTATTTTGAAACGCTGAAAATATCTAAAAAAAATTCTAATGATAATGCTTCATTACCAACTCCAGTTCTATTTTCTGTTCGTGAAGTTAGCACATCTAGCCCCCTTATTGATACTACCTCAGCCTTTCATTCTATTAAAAACGTTTCCATTTCTAGCTCATATAAAACAGCTACACAATCGGCCACTATGACTCAACTAGTAATGAGTACAATTGAAAGAGCTACGACTTCCATGAAAATATCTAGTGTTATTTCCTCTAGGGCCGTCGATTCATTAGGCATTCAGTCTACTCACAGTATATCTGAGCCGGGCCTTCCTTCATTAGTCACAGGATCAACTGCTACTTCCAGACTTTCAAGTAAACTAACTAGATTAACATCTACTGCTTCATTGGAATTTCCCTCAAAATTAGTAAACACACCTGCCAGTAATCAAACTCTGATGAGCTCAATTGTTGTTTCATCTTATGATAATTTCGTTTCAAGTTCAACTTTATCAAGCAAAAATTCGATGGCTACAATAGAACCTATTCCTGCTTTTACCACTAGAAATTCAGAGTCATCTTCATTCCAAAATGAGGTTTTAGGAGAAAGTTTCTCAACAAATTCAACAATTAATAGTTCAGCTATGGTAATAAGCACTATTGCCAGTACTT